AATCCAGAGCCTTTACCCTGATCTACATCACCAGTCTTTGTCATTTTAAATTTTGAAATAGGCTTTCATAGGGCTGGAGAGATGGCTCAGTGGAAAAAAAAGAATATAAATGCTATCCCTGGAAAAATTAAGGCTAATAGAAGAATTTAGACATGTATATAAAGAATAATTGTGACATGTGATGGTATAGTTAGAAGGGATCCAATAACTAGGTCCTACAAGCAACAGGTAGGGGAGGTAAACACATGCCTGAGCAAAGTGCATCGTGTTCCTTTTAGATTTTAGATGTAAATTGTAGGAGGAGCGATTCCTCCATACATAACCTTTCCATGCTGACATATAATATAATGAGGTAACTAACTGCCAAAGAAATGGGGCATGGCCCTAGCTCAGGCTTTTAAGTGGCTGCTTCCACAAAGCTCTCAGATTCAGGTTGCTGGAGTTCGAAACTCACAACTCTCCCGCTGGCCAAAAGTGCCCTGAAGCCATTCAAGGAACAAAAAAAAAAAAAATCCTAACTGCCAAAGATAATGTTGAATTAGCCCTCCAGAAACATGAGGGACACTAGGGGACATTCCTCCTGCATGCCACATTATTGTATTAGTGGCATTTTTAGTGCTAGTATAGATCTCATCACTGCCATTCTGTTTCCATCTGAACTCCTTTCCTTCCGCCGTCCGGGCTGAGCCATAAGGGCTCCAATCTATGACGCTTCCGTAGGAAGTATTAACCAACACCGGGGCTGCTTCTCCTCTCCAGACTTCCCAATGTATCCAATCACTGAGATGAGCAACACTGGTATTCTGGCAGGGTGGCAGACCTGGCGGTGGAAACATTCCATCAGCAGCTTTACCTTCGAAATTTTTTCCTTAGAAATTTTTTCCGTGGAGAAGAAAAAGTCCCTTTTTTCCTCCCTTGCCCCCAGTGTTATTATTTACTATAGATAACCAGACTCGTGTACTTGCTTTTAAGCAGTGAGCTCCATTCCCAATACAGATAGGCCAGCCTTCTGCCCGAACCTTGTAGAATGGAATTCTGGTTCCTTCTTCTGCTGGTAGTGCTGGTCCCCGGGCACCACAGGGGCTGGGTAGCTGGGAGCTTTCACTCACTTCTATGGGTACAGTAGCATCCCACCAGTACACATTCCTCTATTGAATGGTGGATTTGGAATGTAAGCCCAAGAACTAAAATTACCTTTAACACTTACCAGAAGTGACAACAAAGCCACCATAGCAAGCAACAAGTTGGGGGCCGGGGAGATTGCTCAGTAGAATAAGCACTTGCCTGGCAAGCGCAAGGGCCTGAGTTCAATCTCCAGTTCCGCAAAAGAGAAAGAAAAATGGGGCTGGAGAGATGGCTCAGTGATCTAAAGCACCTACTTGAAACAAGCTTGGCAAAGCACAGGGACCGCGGTTCGATCCCCCAGCACCACATGCCAGCCAGCCCCGCCCCCTGGTGGGCTG